GTGTGTGTGTGTGTGTGTGTGTGTGTGTGTGTGTGTGTGTGTGTGTGTGTGTGTGAGAGAGAGAGAGAGAGAGAGAGAAAGAGGGAGGGAGGGAGTTCTCTATGGTTTGACTTTGTCCTGTTCTGTCTTCTGTCTGTGGTTCCTCACCACCAGATCTCACTACTGGTGCCTTACCCTTCGTCATGACAGTTTGCTTCAATGGTTCTCCTTTCTCATTTTGCAGTCTCCCTCTCCCTCCCTCCCTCCCTCTCCTTCCCTCCTGCCGCCTCCCCTCTCTCTCTATGTAGCTCACCTCCTTAGAGTTCCTGTGGATAGATGCTTATGAAGATCATAAGGTGCCTGAGCTTGTCAGTTTGCCTCTTTGGAGAACAACAGTGGCATCCTGTTTGAGTGACAGGCCATGGAAGCAACAGGCCATGTCAAACTGTTCTATTGACATACATGGTCTATTGCTTCCAAGTCGTCCATTCTCACGATCAACAAGCGGCTCAAGAATTGATACGATTTTTCAATTTGCCCTTGTCTTTTTTATATATGCTATGGCCTGCAAGCTGGAGCAGCAGAGTGCACGTGAGATTTTGATTCTCTGCTCTATGCTCTTTAGCACTCTGCCTGATGATAGTGCACACACTCCTATCATTTGATTGAGGCTCGTGACGGCAGCATAACCGGAGGATGTTTAAAAAAAAAAAAAGGAAGGCTCGTGACGAGCATTTTGATGATAGAGAATGCACTCCTTTTATCAATCAATCAAGGCTTGTGAAGAGCATTTGTTTCAAACTCCGCCGTTTTTCAAGCTTTTGAGCTTTCTATGGCACGCAGTTGGCTAGCACGAGGAGGGGGGACGGGGGGCAGCAGTGCACGATATTTGGAGTGCTCGGACTTCAGCAGCGATTTTTCATGGTCATAATTGGTATGAAAATGCTGATCTGTCAGGGGGGGAAACTAGAGAATTCAGAAGGAAAAAAAAGGATGCCTACATGGCAGGAAAAAGAAGCCTGGGGGCAAAAGTACGCATGTTTTTTCCCCTTCCGGTACATGGCAGGAAAAAGAAGCCTGGCGGCAAAGGGGGTAGGCTTGAAGCGCTTTAGCTTCTGTGCTTCAGAGTCAGGAAAATCAATAAGCCAATATAGATTCTCGTTAAGAAAAAGGTTTGGGGGCAGTGGTAGGAGTTCGATGGCATTGTTTGTGTTCATCTCTCTCTCTCTCTCTCTCTCTCTCTCTCTCTCTCTCTCTCTCTCTCTCTCTCTCTCTCTCTCTCTCTCTCTCTCTCTCTCTCTCTC